AAGAAGTAAACATATGTTAGCAACATTTAACCAAGGGGAAGTATTTTTTACCAATGATATTAAATTTCAATAATATTACTCTGTGGACATGGGCTTGAACAAGAATTTGATTTTGAAACAACTACACATAAAACATAATACAAGAAAATCATGTAAAGTGAAAATAATGAATTTGAATAATACAATATAAATGAAATTTAAAACAAAATAAATTATTGAACGTATTACCCGAATCATATTGTTGTTCAAATTCTTCAACATCATTCATTGCTTCTCAAAGGCATATTATTGGAATCTAATGGTTAGATTATTGGAACTCGCATTATCCACAGTTAAGGTAAAAAGGCCATCAATTTCCCACTCCTTTAAAAGTGCCTCAATTTTTTTACCAAGAGTTTCTTTTTTGTGGTCTTCAACTTGACAAAAATTTATGATCCTCTTTTGTAACTTCCAATCATCATCAATGAAATGTGCAGTTAGACACATATAACACAAATTTTGTATGGAAGTCCATGTGTCCATGGTAAAACAAATTCTACGCCCTTTCACAATTTTCTTCAACCTTTCCCTTTCATTGGTGTATATGTCTAGAATGTCCCTAGTAACGGTATATCGAGATGGAATCTTGAACTTGGGTTGCATGCCATTGCAAAACCTCTTAAAACCAACCCCGTCCACAAATCTAAAGGGCAATTCATCAATTACTATCATCTCCGCAAGATACTTTCTAGCAACTTTTACAAAAAATGACGTAGCCACAACATCAACAACATCCTCCCCACCAACTTCTCTAGGTTTAAATCCCAATGATTGTTGCCCATGAGTATCCCTATATGGATACTTTGTACAATTTTTCAAATGACTTAACAAATTACTTGTTCCATGACTCTTAGAGCCTGCCATATATTCTTTCTTACAATACTTGCACATAGCCCTATCTTTCCCATCAATGCCCTTAATCTTTTCAAAATGATCCCAAGCCTTTGATGTTGTTCTCCCACTACTACTACTAGTTTTAGCTGGGGGTGGTCTAGGAGGAGGAGCATTAGGTTGGGTGGATAGATCAATAGAAGATGATTCGGGCTCAACATTATGACTCACAAAAAATGTTTCATCACTTGACGGATCTATGTCTACAAGATTATCAAATATACTGCCAAAACCAATAAAAATTCATTCAAAATATGCTTTTTAAATCCATGGTCTAACAACAGTTTAACAAAAAAAAAGCTTGAAAGAAAATAAACCATGTATTTATTAATCAATGTGTCTCAATAAAACTCAAACAAAATTATGTGTCTGAATAAAACTCATCACAAGACTCCTAACAAAAACAATAATAGTTGCCAGCCATAATAACCAAACCTGATAACCAAACCAACCATAATAATCAAAGTTTGCAAAATTCAATTAACCAATTATCAGTGATGTTCATTTTCTATTAACCAATTATAAAATTCAACACAATCAAACAGAATTAGGTCATAACTTTAACAGAGTCAAATACTCAGAAATTTAACACAGTCAATTATTTTATATCAGTAATGTTTATGTTCATTTTCAATTAACCAATTATAAAATTCAATTAACCAATTATTAGTTTCTAAACCCAGGAAGCCAACCTTAACCATGGACTAACACAGTCAAATACTCAGGAAAAAAAAAAAACTCAATACATACATCAAACCCTCAATCAAACACTAGTCTTAAAAAAAAACTCAATATATACATCAAACCCTCAACCTTCAATCAATATATACATCAGAATTCAATATATACATCAAACCCTCAACCCTCAATCAATAAATATATACATCAAACCCTCAACCCTCAATCAATAAATATATACATCAAACCCTCAACCCTCAATCAATAAATATATACATCAAACCCTCAACCCTCAATCAATAAATATATACATCAAACCCTCAACCCTCAATCAATAAATATATACATCAAACCCTCAACCCTCAATCAATAAATATATACATCAAACCCTCAACCCTCAATCAATATATACATCAGAACTCAATATATACATCAAACCCCCAATCAAAGGGGGGAAAAAAACAGAGAGAGGTATCTGTAAATTTTATACAGAGAGAGGCATCTGTATACGAAGATATACGAAGATTTTCATATGATTACTCAATATACGAAGATTTTCATACGATCAATCAACTCAATATATATTATATATACAGAGAGAGGTACTGTAAATCTTCTATCTAGAGAGAGAGAGAGAGAGATACCTCAGTGTAGCAAATCGATCGTCGTTCAGTGCAAGCAAATCGTCGTTCAGAAGTGTAGATCGTCGATCGTTCAATGTAGATCGCCGGCCGGAGGTTACCGTCGGACGGTAGGGTAGGGTAAGGTAGAGAGAGAGAGAGAGAGAGTCTCAGCGTGTTGGGTCTGTGAAGAAATTAGGGCCAATTCTAAACAAAAGGGGCCTGAGATGTATATAAAATTGGGAGAAAAAATGAAGGGAAAAAAAAAAAAAAGGCACGGACGGGTCGGGTTTGCGGGTAAAATGACGGATCACCCGCCACCCAATCCGAACTCGAGAAACTTGAAATATTGGGCCCGCACCCGTCCGCCACACACCACGCATCCATTCATTTGGGGTCGGGTCGGGTGATTCTGGCGGGTCAGCGGATCCGCTGCACAGCTCTACTCACTAGCCTTCTCCCAAGCAAAGCTTGCAACGCCAACCACATCTCTTGCTAGCCCATCGACTTATAACAAGAGAAGATCTCATCCACCGATATCTTCTCTCCCCCAGTCGCCCGCGGCCAGGAGCTTGAGCTCGCAAATAGAATCTTTCGGGCGTTTGGCATTAGTTAACCTGGTGCCACTTCCAGCTGGTTTAGCACGTCGACAGCAAGCTAAGGGAGTAGAAGCCTCAAACCCCTGTGCAAAGCCTCTTTGTAGAGGGTAAACTCTATGGGCCTTACGTCATAGGCTCTCTCATCTGCCGTTAGTAGCCTTAACTCAATGTTCTCAAGAACTTGATACTTCTTTCGAATCTCTTCTAACTCCTTTGTTGTCAACGTCGATTTATCCACTTTTGTGTTCCAGTGGTCTGGCGCCACTTGACTAAGGGGCTCGATTGCCGAAATCATAGTCGATGGGATAGGACATAGTGGTCTACCTCCACCCCATTCCACTATCCTCTCCATTCGATACTATTCCGCCAACGCCACCCCGTCGTCATCTCTTAGAGAATTCGCAACCGTTAGGCCCTCCTTCAGCCATTCCTCTTACATTTCTGTTTATCACTTCCGCCGCAAGAGCTAAGAACTTGTAGACGTGAAAAATAGGGGAATCCGGGCAACGAAGGGGGTAAAGTCTAGTATGTGTTGGTTTTTTGCAATCAGGTATGAAAATCGCACCATCCCAAATGCCCAAGGTTTGTTTGTCTTCCAAGGGTCGTTGTTGCAATTTGCTAGCGCAAAAACAAAATTGCCAAGTGTGGAGGGAATTAGGAAACCTAACAGGTAAATACCCTAACCCTTTCAAATTCCCCACTTTTCAAACCCTTCGTCTCCACCAAACGTTTCAAAATCCCTATCAACGGCTCACATCACCCCACATAGACAATCGCGGTTATCTCCGCACATTTAATCACTCATTTCCTTTCCCCACGCCAGTTTCACGTCACATCATCATGTACGTTCTCGTACCTCGAGCCCCATGCCCCATCAATGCAATCTGCCCGTCCCCCTTCCAGGTCAGCCATCCCTACTCGGTTATTCTTGGTTGGCTATTTCGCCAGGTTGTCCCTTTCAAGTTGTCCATCCCTGCTTGGCCACTCTTGGTCGGCCGTTTCGCCAAGTTATCCTCCTTTTTAGGTTGGCCATCCTTGCCCAGCCACTCTTGATCAGTCATTTTGCCAGGTCGTCTCCCTTTCAAGCCGGCCATCCTTGCTTGACGACTCTTGGTCGGCCGTTTTGCCAGGTTATCCCTTTTTCAGATCGGCCATTCCTCTTAACGACTCTTGGTCGGTCGTTTCCCCAGGTCATCCCCTTTTTCAGGTCGACCATCCTTACTCGGCCACTCTTGGTTGGCCGTTTCACCAGGTCGTCCCCTTTTCAAGTCGGCCTTTCTTGGTCGGCCGCCTTCCCTAATCATCCACCTTTAAGTCGACTTAGGGGACGACTTTTTCTTGTTTTATTCCTTTCGCTGAACAAAAGTTGTGTTCAGGAATGAGGGACTACTAATGGGCACAGCCCAAAGGGGACGTTTTGGATTACCCAAACAGTCACTTACCTGAAGCTCGTCAAGATCAGGCCCAATACTAAGCCCATTAAAGAACTCACAATGATTAGGCCCAGGTACCAGCAAGCCATGTGTCAAATAGGGAGTTGGCCATATGGCAGACAAAGATTTAAGGGAGTTATTAAGCCCACGTGCCAAGTATTAAATGAGACTACCAAAGCATTAAATGTAACAAGACCTTTCACTCTGAGGCGTGGGAAAACTACCATGGCCGACGGCAAGCAAACGACAAGCTTTCGGCTAATGGGACAGCATGAATGGACAGGGAAATGATTAGTGAACGATATAAGGAAGCCTTCAATGGACGTGGTTGGTAAGAAGAAATCTTTCTCTCTCTCTCTCTCTCTCTCTCTCTCTCTCTAGACTGTTTTTCGATACCATTCCAATACCATTCAACTTAATCATCGGAGGGTCCATGGGAGGAAACCACCCTATATCGGAACCTTCCCATTGGACTCGTTGTAGGTGTGTCTAGAAGGACGGAGCAGAGACGACCCGTGGAGCTCCTAGATCAATCCGACCCAATCTTATTCTGACAAAATTGCATTATCAAAAGATAATATAATGAATCCTTCAAACCTAACAAATAAAAAAATAAAAATAAAAATTAGTCCCATAGTTTTTGACAACAAAGATAATATAATGAATTCTTTTTTTCTTTTTTTTTCCTACTCAATTTCTCACAGTTTTTGACAACCATATGGTTTCTCTAAAGGGTAAATTAGGTAGAAGAATTTTGTTAGAGAGAGACCTGACCGTTGGCTGGCCGGGAAGGGGAAGAGACCCAAAAGGCAGCCAAAGAGTACTACGCCGAAGCTACAAAAACTCAATTCAATTTGAACACTACTCCCATAGAAGAACCCAATACCAACCCAATTTTCAAATTTGAAATCTGGGTTCTTTATCTCATTTCAATCAATCAATCAATTAGTCTTCAATGTGTGTATATATTTATACATATACATGGCATTAGTCCAAGCCTACCTCAAGACTTAGATCTTTCATTCTCTCTCTTTCATCAGGTGACTTAGCCTAGCTGTTTCTCTTATGTTTTTCATTTTGTTTCTTGTTTATTTATGCCTCTTGTGATTGTAACATACAAAAATTTCAAGTCCTAATTGGGGTTTCCAAAGAAATTTTCCTTGAATCTCGTCTGGGTATTTGCTGAATTTTGCTTCTGTTGATCATAGATGGCATGTTCTTCAGGTCATTGTCAATGTGTCGTTGCTCTCTCAGCTGTGTGTTTAAAGTCCTAATTGGATTTTTTTCAGACAAATCTTTTTTGAATCTCTTCTGGGTATTTGCTGAATTTCGATTCTTTTGATCGCAGATTGCATGTGTTTCAGATCATTGTCAATGTGTTGTTGTTTTCTCAGCTGCGTGTTTGATTTCTTGAAACTTACGATAAGCAAACTTTTTGGGCTTCCCATGAGTTGCCTTGCTGTTTACCCTTTTTTTTTTCTTTATTTGGTTTTGCATTCTACTATATGTGAGCTGATAAATAAATTCTAGAAAATTTTGCAAATTAGTATTGTAGGGTGCTGTGAACTTTACTCCTGTGGGTTTACCTAGATTATAGGGTTCTGATCAATAAGTTCTGACGATGAGAATTTACCCTCATTTTCAGGTTTTGTGTGTACATAGATGTTGGTTTTTGACCTTATAGTATGCTGCTCTTTTTGATTCTTCTCCTTAGTATGCACAAGCGATTCTTCTTCTTATGGTTAGGTTTTTGTTTGCATTCTGTTTATGGTAATGTTAAGATACTTGGGTTTATTTCATGGTTGGTTAGAGCATCTCCAATCCCTTTATCAAATTTTTTATCAAATTCAAATTTTCTGAAAAAATGGCTACAAATATGCTCCAACCATTTCATCAAGCGTTCAACCAAATTTTCCATATCAGATCAAGGATTAGAGTTTTTCATATCAAATCAAGTTTTTTTTACCAAATTTTCACTCAAATTTGATGGGAAAAAAAGAAGAAGAGAAATATTAGGGACACACCATATTCTATCTGCAGCATATACTACCACTTATTCACAATGGGTGTGTCGGTACACACCATAATGATGTGTGGGCCCCACTCCTATTGTGAGTGGTAGTAAATTTTGTGTCCGTAGCTGGACTAAAAAAGAGAGTAAGGATTGGAGAGGCTTTTACGAGCACAGAGATAACAAATGTTAGTGTTAGTTACTGGGATTCTTATTCATAATGATAGCCTGCATCTTTCTTTGTAATATAAGTGAACCCATGTTTATGCACTTCAATTTTATCCCGATAATATTGTCCTTTGAAAGTCATTAATGGTTGATCTTTTTTTTTTCTTTTGGCCTGATTTTTCAGTTCTAAGCAATCGACATGCGTGGAGGTGGAAAGAAGCTAACACACAATGATTTTGGGAAGCATTATTCAAACAAGGCAGGAAGTGTGTCTAAGCAGAGTGCACCATTGAAGATAGAAAATGGTACCGAGAGATTGCACATGAAGAGACACAAACCAAAACTGAAGTCGCATGGAAATTCCAATGGTTCAACTGTTTTGAAGAAAAAAGTTGTCAAGTCTGTAAGCAATGGGATGAGAAACAATTCCTCAGGTAAAAATGTGAATAGTACAACAGATCTGCACAAAACAAAGTCCAACAAGAAACAGCATTCCTCAAGCCTTGAAGGTGAAGACATTTTACTTGACAATTCTAAGGAAATTGGAAAACAAGCCAATGGAGACGATGTTAAATCTAAAAAGTTGAAGAAGAGGAGGAAGCGTAGGAGACAAAGGGATAATACAGAGTTAGATGAAGCTTCGCGCTTGAAAAGGAGGGCAAGATACCTATTAATAAAAGTGAAGTTGGAGCTAAACCTTATTGAAGCTTATTCAGGGGAAGGTTGGAAAGGCCAAAGGTATGGAATATTTGTCTAGTTTGTACATCCTTTATTGTTCTTCAATGCAACAGTGCTAGGTTCACAGAAGTAAAACACAAAAAATGCACAGAGAGCACATTGCGTGGTTGAGATTTATTTCAATTGTGGCCCACACTATACCCAAAATGAATTTTAACCACAAAGTACATTTTGTGTTCTATTTCTGAGCTCGTAGCATTATTGTTCTTCAATGTTTTGTTAAGATTTCTCAAGGTTGAACTAGTTTTCTAAAGACAAATTATAGACACCTACCTGACCAATACCTAATCCATACTCTAATCCATCACTTGATGAAGCTAAATGGCCTTTTGGCTCCTTGTGAAGTATATGACTCACTCCAAAACCATCTTACTAGGCAAGAAAACTCAATAGTACCTTATTTCTTTAAATTAATCATAAAAGGTACCTTGTTTCTTTAAAGCACTTGTTGGATACACCCTGCAAATTACAATTATGAAGTCAGACTAATTGGTATTATTATTTGGTTAATAATTAGTTCTAGAATACCTAATTTCTTATAAAATGAGCAAAAAAATTAATTTTGGGATAATCTAAATCCTACCTTCATGATTTTTCATATATGAGTGCATGGTCTTTGAATTTTTTTTTTTTTTTTTTTTTTTTGGATTCACATGGGGGGGGGTCTAAGGGTGTGTTTCTCTGACGTCTTAAATGGGCTAGTAAAACAAGGACATGAAAATGAATTTTTGAATCAGGAAAGAGTTGATGTGATGATGACATTATAATGATCTGCAACATTAACTCGGAAGTCTCACATGCAGACTTGTGCTTGACTTTCTTGTAAGGGTCAACTAGAAAGCAGAGACTAATGCTGTGTTTTGATCATGAATTTTGGTAGGGATTTAGAAATGGAAAGGAAAAAGGTGGCTTTCCAAATCTCTATCCAAATCCATGAACCAAGCAGCCTAATAGTAAAATCAGTAAATTGTTATACTCTATGATATGTATAGCTTTGTTTAATAGACAAATTAGCCAAAGAAGAGATTTGCTCATAGATGAATCTGTATTGGGGTTGTGACATTTGCATGATGCTAAAGCGAACAGTAAAACTTTGAATTTTATCATTATGTCTGCAATTAAGCAATTTGAGGGAGAATTGATGTTGATGGGTAGTTTTTCCTTTGTCGAAAACATTTTACACGTATCTAAGCCTTTTTTTTCATTACTATTGTTATTTTTTCTCCCAGTCGAGAAAAGATCAAGCCGGAAAATGAACTTCAAAGAGCCAAGAAGCAGATTTTAAAGTGTAAACTTGGAATCCGTGATGCCATTCACCAACTGGATTTGCTTAGCTCTGTAGGGTGTATTGAAGGCTCTGCAATTGCACCAGATGGATCCGTATACCATGAACATGTAAACTTTTCTCCCCCCCTCAAATAACCAATCTTACCAACTGAAGGGGCTGTTTATTTCCCAAATCCATCTATTTTCGCAAACAGATTTGCTTTTTAGCCTCACTTCCGAGGCAAATGGCCCTGCTGAGGCTTGAAAGAAACTCAACATTTAAACTATTCTGTATTTACGTTGTTTTTTAACTTCTCATAGAGGTTTCTTCGAGGATGCTAGCTACTGCGATTGTGTTATTTCTCATTTTAGACAAAATTATTCTTGATTTGATGTCTGTTATTCCTAGATAATCTGTGCAAAGTGCAAGTTGCGGGAAGCTTTCCCTGATAATGATATTATACTTTGTGATGGGACATGCAATTGTGCTTTTCACCAAAAATGTCTTGATCCTCCTCTGTTGACTGAAAATAGTGAGTTCTACTCAAATTGCTATTATTATTTTCTGAATGTTATACTATAGTATGAGATTTCTTCATTAAACGTAGTGTAATCAATAATTTTTCAGTTCCTCCAGAAGATCAAGGATGGTTTTGCAAATTTTGCGAGTGTAAGATGGAAATATTGGATGCAATGAATGCTCATCTTGGGACTCACTTTTCTGCCGACAGTCATTGGCAGGTTGTTTACATCAGAAACATTTCATGCTCTCTTATGGTTTTATTTTTCTCTCCCATTTTTTTTTTCAAAAAAATAAAAATAAAAACTTATTTCTATGGGATCAAAATAGGAAATCTTCAAGGAAGAAGCTGCTTTACCTGATGGTGGAGGTGCTTTCCTAGATCCAGAACAAGAATGGCCTTCTGATGATTCAGAAGATGATGACTATGATCCAGAAAAAATTGAAAATAGCTGCAGTTACAGCAGGGCTGGCTCTGAAGCTGATGATTTAGATGATGCAAGCAGTTCCAGCAGTTTATGGTCACTTGAAGAGGAAGTGTTTTCTGAGTCAGGGAGGCCATCCAAGAAGCACAAGGACGGTCAGAATGCCTCTTTCGAATCATCTATTGGTGTAGATTCGGATGAGACAACTGATTGTGAGGTTTTAAGTGGCCCCAGGCTGCGGAAAGCTGTTGATTATAAGAAGTTATATGATGTGAGTATTTAAAGACTGAACTTAGAGCAACTCCAATGGCGAAAGCCATAATTGTTACATGGTCGGGGATAGAACTCAACCCCAAAAGCTAGCTATTGAGGTGAGGGTGTCCTCACACTTTTATACTTAACATTGCTTTAGTACCTAGGCGATGTGAGACTTCGTTTCACACCCTCCCTCACACCTAGCATGCTCACTTGGCAGCACTTGCGGCTTGCATGCGAGGGACACGCACACTACCCATTGCTGGTACTCCGGCTGTGATACCATGTTTCACGGTCTTGGGTAGAACTCAACCACAAAAGCTAGCTATTGAGGTGAGGGTGTCCTCAAGCTTTTATACCTAAAATTACTTTAGTACCCAAGCGATGTGGGACTTCGCTTCACATAGCTTTGCCAAAACCATTTTTTGACTTGCTACAATGCAAAAGGTCATTTTTTAGTTATGCCTCTCCAATGGCTTCATGTTATTTCAACACAATCAACTCCCATATCAATTTTTGACCATTGGATCTATTTCTCAAAAAGCATCTAGTGATCGAGATTACCCTTTGCTGGCACTAGATTTGGCACAGCCAAATTTTGGCTCAGCCAAATTTTGGCTCCAGATTTGGCAAACCATTGGAGGGTGTTTTCTATGAAGCTATATCTAAAAATGGCTTTGGTTCAAGGATTTGGCACACCATTGGAGTTTCTCTATCTATATTTGATTTTTCAGGTGCGGTAAATAGGTGTGAAAACAACTCCATTGATGAACGAGATAGGATCGTTTTACAATTGGTGTAAAACTTTACAGTCGCAGATCCCTTCGCAATTTCTTTTACTAGATTCATATTCCACCAACGTGATTGTTGGATTACATGTTCCTCCTACGTTAATCATGCATGGCAAATTTCATGTCAATCAAAAATCAAAAGGTCTCTTATCAGCCTAATCATCCAAACCAGAGTTGGTCTATGGGTGAGATAGTATTCGTATTCTTTGATGGGCTTGAAAGTTGGTATGCATGATTGTTATTGGAGGAATATAGACATGATCGTATGACAAAATGTTATGAAGGGGTGTTGGACTAGAAACTTTTCACTCAGTGTAAGTTGATCCTAACCCTTGATGAGTAACTTTTATGGACTTCAAATCAAACTACCTACTTCTGAAACTGCTCTAAGGAATCAAATGAGGGTGAGATTGTAATTCTAAAGCATGTATCGTGGACATGTTCTCAACCCTCGAACTGACCTTTTAACAACATCTTTCAGTTGATGGGGAGAAATAGTGCCACAACTCTAATTTAACGTTATGTTGTTCTTGCTTCCAAATACAGCCCATGCATTCTGTGATTTAAATCTAGTTACTACATTCTACATTTGTCATTTTAAAGTATGGTTGCATTGCCAAGGATATGGTGGCGTAAATAATGAGAAATTCAACACTATTGCACTCAATGAATAAATAAAGTTCACTCTTACGCGGAATTTTTTTTATATGTTTTTTTTTTTTTTTTCCTGAAATATGAACACTTGTTTTTCTTAGAGAGGTGATTCATCTCAAAAAAAATAATTTCATATGATTATTTGTCATTTTTGAATAGGAAATGTTTGGAAAGGATGCTCTTGTGAGTGAACAAATTAGTGAAGATGAAGATTGGGGCCCTGCTAAAAGAAAAAGGAGAGAAAAGGAGTCTGATGCAGCCACCACCCTTATGACTCTATCTGAAAGTGAGAAGAAATTTCCAAATGTGAATACTGTGGAAGACCAAGAGAAACTTCCTCACAGTGGGAAAACTAAACGATCATTTTTCAGAATCCCTCCCAATGCTGTTGAGGTGATTGGGATTCTTTTTCACAAATGAAGCATTGATCAAGCATGTGTTCTTGTCTTTGATGTTTTTTTTCTTTGCCATGCATATTGGATGTTCATTTCTTGTGTTATGTACCAGAAGCTTCGCATTGCATTTGCTGAGAATGAACTTCCATCTAAAGCTGTGAAGGATAACCTTTCCCAGCAACTAGGAATTGAATCTGAGAAGGTAAAGCTGTTAGATTGAAGTGTGAAAAAAGTAGATATGCAAAAATGCCTTGAACTATATGTTACCACTCTCCAAAATCAGCAAATTACTTCATTTATTTATTTTTTCTACATTGGTCTATTCTAAGACAAATAGCTATAGAAGAATAACACAATTTTGAAACGGCTTTTGCAATTTTAAGCTCTTTGGTAACAAATGTAACCTGGCCAAGAGTTAATTTAGTGGAATTAAGTCAACACAATAGACCGTTTAGGGATCTGGATGTGCTTCAATTGTTTTTAGTGGCAATTGCAAGGAAGGAAAAAGGCAAAAGAATATGAATCCATGATTGGTGAGGTTTTAGCATTAGGGACTTGATATTGCAGATCCCTCATGAAAATTGTTATTTTGTTGCCCTGTTTTTTCTTCTTATACATCGATTTCTTATTCCTTTTCTATTTTCTAGGTTAACAAATGGTTCAAAAACGCACGTTACATAGCTCTTAAAGCCAGAAAGGTAAGCTAGTATTCTGTTGATTTCTTGAAGTGCCTATATCTTCAATTTTCTAACTATATTGTTCCTTTTATTTTCCGTCTTTGTGTTCAGTTTTGCATCTTGGACTCAAGTCAATACTCATATATATTTTTTTTTCATACATTGCCGTTAAGTTGACCTATTTTTTTAGAAAATTATGGCCGAATTTTTTTTTTTATATAATTATTTTATTATTGGATATTCCTACTTCTTGATTTATCATACCTCGTTGTGTGAACTTTATAAAAGCCCAAAGCCCTTGAAATCACAGTGCAAAATGCATCTCATTTTTCATTTTATTGGTCCTCCTTTATTGTTTTTCTGAATCTTAACATGGATTACAATCTCCTTGCTTGCAGACAGAGAGAGCAAAAAAAATTCTCTGTGGTAGTCCAAAATTCACCAAGGAATCGAGATCCAAAATTGGAAAGGATAAAACCGCTGATCCATTGGCATCAAAGGATATATCATCAACAACTGCAGTCCATTCACCTAGGCATTTGAAGAAAGCTAGCGGGAAAAAGAACGTGCAATATATTACTTATGCTTTAAAGAAAAAGCACCACAAAAGAGCTTTGTATAATAGCAATAAGGTATGTTTGCCTGAAATTCGTGCCACATTTCTGCTTGGTTGAGCATAACTAGTAAATTGCAGTCAACCTCTATAAAGAATTCGTGAGGGCCTTTAGGTAGTGTTTGGTTGAATGGAATGAAGGTGGAATGGAATGATCATTCCATTAGAATGCTCATTCTCATGTTTGGTTCACTAAAATAATGCTGAAAAATGTATTGCAAATAGAATCATTATGCACTTTATTCCAGTTAACCAAATGCAACATTAGAGTTTTATATGCAATGTTATTTACGTTGGAAGTGATTCCAGCAAAAATAAGATGCCAGCCGCATTTTTCTTGAAATTTGAAGTGCAGTGTGGTTAAAAAACACTGTACATCATCGTGCAGTGTGGTTAAAAAACACTTCTGTAAAGAAGTAATGTAAAACTCGTATGTTCATTGCTAGAGTTTATTTGTAAATTTGTATCCTTTTAAAGATACTTTTGAAGGTCGTGGACTATTTTGAACTTGGGTTTCAAGTCGAACCCATTCTGGCTGAAGGATTGAGTATGCTAAAGATGCATCTCAACGAAATATAGGATAAATCCAGTTGATATCAATTGTTTGCTGCCCATATATGGTATAAATCCAGTTGATTCAAGAGTAGGTCACCTTTTATGTCAACAAACCTATGAAGCACAGATATTTTTATAAGGGAGTCGTATTTGTATTGTACCTATATCAGATACCGATGCTGCTCAGGTACTTGTGGATACGTTATCTGATACTTCCTAAATATATTCAATATTTGATGTTAATTATGAGAAGTATGAGATACTTTTTGAATACTCTAGGTCACGTATCCAAACAATAATGAAATTGAAATTGTAATAATTTTTTTTTATACATATTATTAGGGTGTAATTGTTAGAATAAATACAAGGACAGTTCTTCAATATTTTCTCATTTCTTATTGAAGAAGAAAATAGTGAAATTATTTCATTATATATATGTCTTGAAATGTCTAATTTTCAGGCTGACATGGAGTTTGGTGATGATGTGAGCCTCAAGATTTTGAAAGCTTTCGCGAAGAAAAAGAAGAAGAGAGTAAACTTGGTGGGTGGAGGTGGAGTAGAAGAAGCAGAGGCTGAGTTGGAGAGGCTCTGTAAAATCAAGGGTAAGGTAGAAAAACTCCAAAAGGTTTTATTGGGACTTCCAAATCACATATCCATTATCAAAACCACCACCACGACAGATGACCATTCTGTTGTATATGTCCCTGTAGCAGAGCTAAGGGAGAAAAGATGATGCTCTCTCTCTCTCTCCCTCTCTCTCTCTCTCTCTCTCTCTCTCTCTCAAGAGTTTTGCACGCAAGTGTACTTCTGTTTCTTCAGTTGTTAAAGAAACAGACTTTTTTGGGGGTATATATGCAAAATATTTAGTGCTTTACTTTTTCAAAATGTCTTGGACCCATTGTAAATATAAAACAAAGAGTTATATATGAGAAAAACGATTGTAGAAATTGCACTTATTTCTTTGTCGTCTCTATATCCTGTTTTAGCAAGAGCCTCGTGCACAAGATTTCCCTCTTTTTATTTTTTTGTTTTCCAGTTTCCTTTAAGAATATTTTTGTGAAATTTTGTCTACTTGTTAATTTTTTTAAAAATATTTTTATTGATTGAAAATAGAAGTATGTAAGGCATGGTGTACTTGTGAGTGTTAGTAGCTGAATTAAGTTTATTTTTGGATCTTAGATTTGTAGAGGAATATGTGGAGAAGGAAAATAAAAGGGAAAATATAACAAGATGAAGGAAGTCAAGGACGTTAAAAGTTTTTTTGTTTTGTTTTTTTTTTTTTTCATAAACAACTCTATTGCATCTCTCAAAAAGTGAATTGTTATAAAACAAAAGTCAAAAACCAGAAGAGAGTAGAGTAAAGGGAAAATTCATCCTACAAATTTTAGATTCCTTGCATTTGTAAATAATTTTGAAGTTACATTTTTATTGTAATTCCTATATCTTCTCACTGAATTGTAAAGAGAGCTGCTATTAGCACTCATGAATTATTTTGGACTCCTGAATTTTTTGTGTTTTTTTTATTACAATAATAACCTCAAATAAAATTATTAAAAAAGGATATTATTAATTTTGAGATATCTCATCTCACAATTAAACTCATACACCATTACATCATGAATTAGGGTTTATGAGAGCACTCACCTCCATCATCACCCATCCATCTTTTCCAAATCTTATATTCAAAACTTACCCACCCTCAAAACTTTGAAAACCCTTTGGCGGTAATATTGCAGCCACAACGGTGACCATTTGATTACCCACACTTTCTGGCAATGATAATGAGTGGAAGTTTTTTCGACAACTACAGCTCCATGAGAGGAGAGGAGTACAACAATAAAAGTTTAGAGGAAGTTATAGCTTTGATGGTATTGTTAACTCAGAGGAGATTGGCCTTTTAAAGGTAAGTTTTTTTTTGAAAAAAATGGCAAAAATAATAAAATATGTTCATCATTTTTTCGAGATTGAACTCCCGAACATATGACCGAAATTTAGGAACACAGGCCCGAACATTGTTTATTTGTTGGAAGAGAGAGAGAGAGAGAGAGAGCAAAGACAGTAATCACACTTGACTCTTCTTTTTCTTCTTGTTTTGTTAGGATTTTTGGAAGAGAGTTCTTTTGAGGTTTTGGGGGGTGTGCATTCAATTGAATGGGTAGAATATTTTCACAAGGATAATTTTGGTATTATTTAAGGGGAGAAAAGAAATTTTAAGAGTTCCAAAATTTATAAGTGAGTCCAAAAAAATAAGGGATCCAAAATAATAGATATGATGCTAATAGCACTACTCATTGTAAATTATTGCCTCAAAGGTACCAATACATAATTTTCCTTAATTTAATCTTATGATGTTTATTTGGTCTCACTAACGTGGGTGCAAATCGCTAACTATCTATTGGGATGTATGCTCGTCAAAATATTTACATCTGTTTATATTTTAGTTATCGCTATTACAACATATTAAAAATAAGTAATAAGAGAAGGTAAATTTATAACACGTGGCGTGTGATAGGCAATGACTGTATAATTTTAAAAATCTTTAAAAAGTTTTTTGTAATTATCAATACTTTAGAAGAAATTTGTGTAGTTAGGCCTAATTTAATATAATACTTTAGCATAATATATAAAGTGTTAAATTTAATTCGTCCTAAAAAAAAGTGTTAAATTTAACATGGCAAATAGGGCATTGCTAGAATATATTTTTTGTAACTATCATATCAAATTATAACCCTATCACAATACATAACTTTCACGTGGGTTGGAGTCTTGGACTTGTGCAAACCCAAAAATAAATAAATAACATTTTTTTTCAATTCCCATAGCTTCTTGTTAAATTAAAATGTAATCGTGATCAATTAAGGTCTTTAAAGCAACAAAAACCACTCAAAAAGCAAAAAAACCCAATAATAATAATAATTATTATTATTATTTGAGAAATTCAGTCAAAATTTATCCATTAGACCCTTATTTAGTAAAAATAAGGGCTCAATTCATTTTACTTTATAAACCCCCTAAGGAAAAAACGCATAATTAAGTACAGACAAAATAAAATATATATATATATATATTTTTTTGAATAATATTACTAGAGTAACATGCTACTGTCAAATAGAGTAACATGTTACTTTTTATATCAATTTCGACGATGGTAATTTATTTATTTATTTATTTATTTTTAAAAATTTCATAATCAACATAAATATTATTTAATAAATCTTGATGGGAGAATTTTAAAAATATTAATTTTATTAAAAATTGACATTTCAATCAAAAGTTATATTATTTTAAAATTTAATATTTTAATAATAGTGACACGTGTTATATTTTTTAAAAAAAACTTTATGTACTTGTTTTTAATATATTAAAATTTTATTACGAGAGTGTTTTGACCAAATCCCTCAAATTTTATTGGCACTAATGGTTATAGAGCATTGTTGCTATAAGAAAACAGCAAAAAAAAATAAAAAGAAAGGGGCAATAATACCCAAAGGACAAAACAAAAAAATCCACACAGAAACAAAAATGGTGAGTCCAGTGGCTGAGTACCCTTTGGTTTCAATCCACACTTGTATCTTCTCCAAAATAATAAAAATAATAATAATAATAATAATAAACAAAGGAAAAATAAATAAAATTGATGAGATGTATACAAAATTGAAATGCTGAATGGACACATCAACAGCTCGAAAATGGAAAATATTAGTAAGCATACATTAATACTCTCCTTTCTGCAGCTATTATACCAAAAATTTCCAATTCAATCGTCCCCAAGAAACCCTAGATTGGGGGCCAATAAGCAGATGACGGCAAAACTAGTTAGAAATGAAGACATCACAAATCAACAAACAAAGATGAAAACCAGGTGAAGCACGAAGTCAGAGGCCAGCAGCTCAATCTTTTTCAACTATATATTTTGCTTCGATAATTTTGCCGACTATCACAATACCAGCCTCTACAGTGTTTGTACATTTTAGACTTTTTTCGAACTTGTAGTATGCTCTCAAATAAACAAAGATACAGAGCAAGAAGTGAACTATGGAGTTCTTGTATTTCTCATATCCTTGGTAAGATCATGTGAACCAACATCGTTCTTGGCTCTATCCAATTTGCGCCTTTTAGCAGCAAGCCTAGGCCTCAACTATACAGAGCATATATATCAACTTATTAGTGCCAAGATTTGTGATAATAAAAATATAATGCAGAATAAGCATATGAAGAACATATAGAACTTTGGAGAGAACACCATAGCATAGCACCAGAAGTTGCAGATAAACCGAGTACATGATATAAATATATGCAACAAAATATCAACGATAAATTGTTCCTAATGTATTGTGTTCCCACTAACCATCTATCATAGCATATTCTCATACTCGTTTATTGTAGTTACAAGGTCATCACTTTGCAAATCCATGTGTCTACAACACACAAAAAAAAAAAAAAACAAACCAACTTGTATCGAGGTTTGGCAATGCTATAATCTGTCATCTCAGAAAAACCCATCTTGTATCCACTTTACCTGGTAAAACGACAATATTCTCACCTCTCAACTGGATTTCACACCCAAGAACATGAGTACGAAAAATAATGTTAACTTCAAAACATTACAATTATCACAACTCAATTCAAACTGATTTCCCAACCAAGCACAGAAATTTTAACCCAACAAATGTTATAAAATAATTAACATAAATATTAAATAAATAAATAAAAACCGAATTCACAACCAAGAATATAAATTTAACCCAACAAATATAAAAAAATGCAATATAAATATCATACAAAATAAAATAAAAAATTGATATCAAGAGCTGCAAATACTCTATTTTCAGGTATTTGTCCTGTACCCCAACCCAACTGACTCCAACCCTATGCACATGTTACACAAATTCCACCAATTGGGATGGAATTAATAACAGTAGGGAGGTAAAATGAAAAATGGTCAAAACCACGATAAGGGTCTTTTAAACGTGTGTGTGGTGAAGTGTTCTGGAATCATACCATAAAGGTGGTCAAATGAATTTTACCCATATATATATATATATATATATTCAATTAAATTGACAAACTTTGAAAATCCATATCCATCCATTAGCATCTAGATTAAGTTTAGCATGCAAACTAAAATTTTAGACCAAACCAAGCCTTAAGTGTCATCAAATGGGATCGGCTACATGAGTCCTTCTTCACCACGCGGTCCTATCAAAGGCCATTTCGTTAGTCAAATTTAGTAGATCCATATCGCTATTTATAAACCTAATTAACGTTAATGTAGGCCTACCCCGTCCCCTAACATTTTCATCTACTGTTATAGCATCGCATCTCTTCACTATTGCCTCTATTGGTCTCCGTTGAATATGACCAAACCATCTCAGTCGATTCTATCTCAACTTATCTTCTATCGGTGCTACTCTTACCCATTCCCGAATACACTCATTCCTAATTCTATCTTGTCTAGTCTAGTCTTGCCACACTCATCTTATCTACATGTTGTTTCTTGGTTACCCAACACTCCGTCCCATACAACATCGTTAATCTAATAGTCGTTTTATAGAACTTACCTTTTAGTCCAATGGGTATTCGTTTATCGTACAATACCCCAGACGCACTTCTCCACTTACACCATCCCGTTTTAATCCTATGAGCTACATCCGCATTAATCTCCCCTGCTATTGTGATAATCGACCCTAAATAACAAAAATGTTCACTCTTAGGCAGTTCTTAGTTTTCAATCTTCACTTCTCCTCTGCTTTCATTGTTGCTGTTACTAAATTTACACTCCATGTACTCTGTCTTAATTCTACTTATCCGGAATCCTATAGATTCAAGAGCTTTTCTCCAAATCTCTAATTTTGTGTTTACTCCTTCTTTAGTCTCATCCACTAACACGATATCGTCTGCAAAAAGCATACACCATGGCACGTCATCCTGAATATTTCTCGTCAGCTCATTCATAACTAAAGCAAAAAGATAAGGACTTAAGGTAGATCCTTAATGTAACCCTACAGTGATGGAAAATTCATCTATCTCTCCAACAGGCGATCTAATAGTGTTCACCACCCCTTCATACATGTCCTTAATCAAATCAATATAACCTTTTGTCGCCCATTTCTTCTCTAACACCCACCATATGATATCCCGAGGCACTCTATCATATGCTTTCTCAAGGTCGATAAGGATTTAAGGTAGATCCTTCGTGTAACCCTACAGTTATGGGAAATTCATCTGTCTCTCCAGCAAGCGATCTAATAGTAGTCACCAGCCCTTCATACATATCCCTAATTACATCAATGTAACATTCTGTCACCTCTTTCTTCTCTAACACCCACCATATGATATCCCGGGGCACTCTATCATATGCTTTCTCGAGGTCGATAAATACCATATGAATGTCTCTTTTCTTTTCTCTAAACTTTTCTATTACTCTCCTCAAAAGATAGATCACTTCCATTGTTGACCTGCCAAACATAAACCCAAAGTGATTCTCTAACACTTCTGTTATATCTCGCAATCGGCGTTCCATCACCCTCTCCCACACTTTCATTATATGACACATTAGCTTGATTCCTCTATAGTTGTTGCAATTCTGGACATCTCCTTTATTCTTATAGATTGACACTAAAATACTCTTCCTCCACTCATCTGGCATGTTCCTAGTCAACAAAATTTTACTAAACAACCTAGTCAACCAAGCAATCCCTTTTTTACCTGACCACTTCCAAGCTTCAATATAGATATCATCGAGTCCTAAAGCCTTATTTGATTTCATCTTCTTAAATGCAATCTCCACTTCAAAGTTCCTAATCCTGCGATAGAACCTATAGTCTTGGTTTATCGCATTACTAGCTATTTATTCCCCTATTGCCATACCTCCATGTTCCTCATTTAATAGTTTCTCAAAATAGTTCTTCCATCTTTCCTTAATCTCTTCATACTTCACCAATACCTTAGAATCCTCACTCTTGATGCACTTAACTTGATTAAAATCTCTTGTTTTCCTCTCCCGTATCTTAGCAAGTTTGTATACCCTCTTCTCTCCCTCCTTACTATCTAGTCTAGTGTATAGGTCATCATAAGCTTTCAACTTAGTCTCTCTCACTACTTTCTTGACCTCCTTATTAGCCAATCTATAGCTCTTAAGATTTTTCTCAGTTCTATCATTCTTCCACTTTTTAAAGCACTCTTTTTTGCCTTAACTAACGCTTGAACCTCTTTCCCCCACCACTAAGTTTCCCTAGAGCTGGGTCCCGTTCCTTTCGACTCTCCAAGCACTTCCCTTGAGATTCTCCTCATACAATTGGCCATCGAAGTTCCACATAATGTTAGCATCATCTTCTAAATCCCAAGTACCTTCTTTATCCATTCTATTCTTAAATATTTCTAGTTTATCCCCTTTTAGGTCCCACTATCTCGTCTTATGATGCCCACCATCCTTCCTAGCTTGGTATTGCCCTCTAAAACATAAATCTAGTACGAAAATCCTATGTTGAGAGGTCAAGCTCTCTCCAGGAATCACCTTACAATCATTACATTTTAAGCGGTCCACTTTTCTCACTAAGAAATAATCTATTTGGCTCTTAACTAATCCACTCTTAAAGGTTATCAAATACTCCTCCCTCTTCTTATACATAGTATTAGCCACCACCAGGTCAGAAGCCAACGCAAAATCTAAGATTCTCTCTCCAACCTCATTTCTGTCACCAAAACCGTATCCACCATGCACCCTTTTATAACCTAGTTTATCTATGCCCACATGGCCATTAAAATCTCCACCTATAACCAGGTACTCTCCTACGGGTATCTCCACTACTGCCTCTGTTGGTCTCCGTCAAAAATCCCTCTTAGTCTGATCATCTAACCCTAC